ATGTTTACAACCTTAGTTATGCACTCTAAAGACTTTTTCAAATTAACTTAATTGATTCTATCTTTGAGGGAAGGACGTAACCTTACAACATTGTCTTAATATTTTGAACCCAAAACCTTAGTATAACATTTCTCAAAGAGAAAATACAAATCTATAAACTAAGAACAAGTTCATATAAAATTGGTTTTTTTACACAATTTAGCTCATACCTAAAAGAACACTTAAGAACAAATATACAATGAAAAAAGATCGATATTTTTGAAAGAGATTGATCCTTCCGTTGTTTCTCATAAAAGAGATCGATCTCTATATTTCGTAGTTGCCATGAATGTAGCAACCCGGAAAAAATATTTATATTTAAGTAATTTGGTGAAATTTAGGGATTAAATTAAAAGTTTTCAAAACTTGTAAGTTGTTTTAGAAATTAAAAGAAATTTAGGGACCAAGTCCTGAATATCCCCATAGAGTGTCGACACACAAATGTTGTTAAATATGTGCAATTGGTTTTCTGTTTTCAAAATAGAAAACAATTGCTTAAACTTTTCCTTTCCCCACACCTTCTTTCAAACCGATCCTGACGTCGTCCGGCCACCGATCGTCGATCTGAAGCCACCATCGTGTTCGTCGTCGACCAGTGAACAAAACCCCGTAAACCGATCGTAGCGAAACGTTGTCAAACGCCGTGAATTTTGATTCAAAGTTTCGACCTTTTTTTTAATACCACCGCCTTGAAAATTGTCAATTCATCGGCGATCATTACTCTATTTTCGACACCTCCCGCATTATCATGTTCCTTGTGTAGTTTCGAGTCCACCGGTGTCCTTTGCGTCTCCGTCGTCGCTGGTGCGTGAGGGAGGTGAGGAAGTCAAAGTTTCTGACGTGTTGAAATCGAGCTCTCTACCGTTCAAAATTTTGAATCGAGCTTGGTAAGGGTCTTAAAATCGCTTAAAATATTTTTAGAAAATTTTCGGGCACCCTAGGACTGTTCACACGCCCCCCTGCGCGTGGGGAAGGTTCAAAAATGGGGGGTGGCAGTTTGACCCGACCTGGACTGTTTAACCGACCCGACCCGTTGACCCGACCCGACCCGATGACCTGACCCATCGTTGACCGTTGACTTTGACCAAAAAGTCAAATTTTTTCAAAATTTCATATTTTATGTTTTTTGACGTCCTGAGTTTGATACTGAAGTCCGTTTTTGCAAATTCGAACCTGAAAGCCTCCAAATTGTCAGTCAAACCCGTTGACTTTGACCTTGACCAAAAAGTAAAAATTTTCAACCCCGAATCGAGCTCGTTAACCAAAAGATGCTTAGTATTTTTAGCATTTTTGCTTACTTATTTAAGATTATTCATATTAGGATTTCAATATGGATTTTTCCGATTCGTAGGATCTAGCGCTGCAGCAGAGCGTAATCGACAGACTCAGTGGTAGGTTTCCCTACCCGATTTTTCAGACTGTTACAGGTGTGTTTCCTGACGGTGTTATCTTACTGTTTTAAACTATCTATCTGAAATGTTTTATATTTCTAAGGATACTAAATATTTTTATGAGAAAATATTTGATGTTCTGAATATTGTTTATTTGATATCTGATTTACCATACATTTCTGATATGGTTTATGGTTACGGTATTTTTGTACCTGATTTCTAAATATGGAACATTTCCATATTTTAATGGATTAATTACCGTTTTCACTCCAATACATACATGTTTATTATTGTCATTGGGGGTATGATTGAAGGAAGTATTACAGGTTCCTTTGTTGTGTGCAAGGGTAAGCCTTACAGTTTTCCCAGGTTCCTTTGCTGTGTGCAAGGGTAAGCCTTACAGTTTCCCAGGTTCCTTTGCTGTGTGCAAGGGTAAGCCTTACAGTTTTCCTAGGCTCCTCTGCTTAGGTTAAGCCTTACCGGTGTACAGGTGGGTGTACGGTTCGGGTGAACCTACACATTTTGGTGATTGGATGATGGTAGTGTTCATGTTTTTAAAACATGTTTGATAAATCAATGTTACTGAAATATTTTATCTGTATGTTTATTTTTTACACAGTATGTAGCACACTAGGCTTTTTAGCTCATTATGTAAATTTTACACTTTCCAGATAACAACAGACCGTAAAATAGCAGATTTGGCATCATGAGAGATCAATTACTTTTACTATTGTACGACAGTATATCTCTATATGTTTTTCAGTTGTATTTGGTTACATGTATTTTGCTATCGTTTTGGATATATCCGTATTACCGATATTTTGTTCCTTAAATGTTTTATATGATTTTCTGTGGTATTTTGATATGTATGTGTTTTATGGTTTTCTAAAATATGTTTTAATATATGATTATCATATAAATCTTTATTATGGATAAATTTCATATATTAATGAAACGTGGATTTCAGCGTTGTTTTAAATATAAAAAGAATTTCTGAATGTGATACGTAATCATCTAGTCATGGGCATAACGTCCAGGCCGGGTCTAGTGGGTTACAATGAATGTGATGAAAATAGTCCATACCATTTGGTCACGTAGTTTCTATGTGCATTAGCTATACCCATCTTCGGGGATGGGTATAAGGAGTTGGTGAAGAAAGTTGTTCTTCTAAAAATTTTGAATTTTTATATTATTTAATTAATTTTTATATTTTCCGTTGATAATATATTTTTGTTCCTTAAAATTTTATAAATTTATCCCTTATATACAATCACGTGTCTATTTTTATCCACCTCTACTTTCTTTCCATGGCATCCACTAAACAATGTGATGAAAAAGAAAGCAGAGATGGGATGAAAATGAACTTCCTTTCCATGTACCCAGATATGATTGGCTTCTTTTGTTTTATTTACTGTAATCATTGTTTCTTTATGCTTATTTTGTTGCTACATACACAAATGAGAGACTTTTGACTTGTAGGAAATGTTCTTTGTACCAAAGCATCATTTGGAGCTTGAGAAGAGAACCATGATTGCTGGCACCACTAGTGTGTCCTTCAGGTGTCTCCATAAATTGAATGCCAACTCTTATTATTATTTTTTAAACGATGTCTATCACCTTGACAGGGATGAATCTAGAAGATAGACAGGTAGTCGTTCTTAACAAATTATAAATTTTTATATAATTTAAATATTTTTCATTAATAATTTATTTTTATTATTTAAAATGAATAAATGATTTAAACAGAACTAAAACGTAATTTTTTTTAAAGGATATGAATGAGAGAAATGAGACGAGATGTTAGAGAGGAATGTCAAATTAATGTAGTTGTGATTTTGTCAAGTTGGGTGCTTGGTAGGTGGCTGGTATGATTCATTTTAGACAAAGACAACCCCTTTGTTCCACTTAGGTGCATAGCCCTTTATTTTATTTTGGGTAAACTATGTGAATAGTCCCCTTTGTTTTCGTTTAAACGACTTTGGTCACTAATTTAAAAATTAAGAATACATGGTCCTTAAAGTTATCGATCCATTCGATTTTAGTCTCTCAACCGTTAACTCCCATTCGATTTTAGTCCCTCAGCTATGCCCCATATTCATTAAGGGTTAACGGCGAAGGGACATAAAAAAGACGGACTGATAATGTTAGGGACTATTTACCCTTAGTTTTTAAATTGGTGACCAAAGTCGGATAGATCCTAAACAAAAAGGACTATTCGCATAGTTTACTCTTTTAGTTTCTTCTCTTGGGTAAACTATAAAAATGGTCACTTTTATTTCATAATGTTCATTTTCAGTCACTAGATTTAAAATAATAATATTTTGATCATTAGGACGTTAAGTGTAATTAGTTTGATGATATAACATATTAATAAAATGATTTAATTCTAAATTTAATAATTAACATTTAGATAAAATATTAATTTGACCTTTAAAATATAATTAAAATGTCAAATCAATTTTTCAACTTTAAATGAAACATCGATTTCACCCATGAATCTAATCAAAGCCTATGGTTGTCACTCTACACTTACCGTCGCCGTCAATAATTATTAAACTCTAAAATTTTCAATTCACTCCTTTTTGAATTTATGAACACAAATCTAATGTCCATTTCACAAAAAATACCATGAACTCCACAAATTTAATCTAGAAATCTAATTTCTTTAAATTAAATTATAATAATAAATTTATCATTAATACTCCTGTTAATTTAGGTAAATGAAAGAGCTGTTTATTTGACATTCTTCCAAAATGAACTCTTAAAATAATTTTAAGCAGAAATTTAGAAACTACAATATTCTCCACCAAAACCACAATATTAGTTAGTGATAATACTTCCACATCAATTGTGCGCAATAACCAATGTCCACCAGTTAAATTAATCCATAATTATAACTGTTTTGAGACAAATTGACATAATTAAATAATAATAGTAGTGTAGAATTAGGCAACCTTGTCGTAGGACGGGACAATAATAATAACATAAAAGTAACCATTTAAAAACTAATAATAATATAATTCATCAACCGACTTGTAAAGTGTATATGTTTTGTCAATAATTAAGAAAAAATTTAAACATATAATAAATTATAATCATCTAAACTATTAAAAAACAACCACAATATATTAATTTGTTATAATAGGACTTTGATTGAGCTGGTGAGTTAAATTAATATTTTATCTAATATTTAAAAGTTAAATTAATATTTTATCTAAAATATAAGATTCAAATTAAACATTAATATTTTTATAAATGTATCACCTCATCAAACTAATCACATTTAACGTTCTAGTGATCAAAACGTTACAAATCAATAACGTAAGTAACCAAAAACTTATAAATAAATAATATAAGTGACCAAAGCATTACATTTTTAAATTTATGACCAAAAGTGAATACTAATGAAATAAAGTGACCATTCGATATTTTACCCTTTTTCTTATATAATTTTCGACATGATCTGAACACTATTATTTTACATTTGACCTGTTGTCTGAAGTAGTCGAGTAGATATACACATTGATAATTTGATACTGTATCGATATACCCACGCTCCAGACTACCAGATTTATGTTTTATCTCTTGACGGGGAGTGTTGTTTTAGCTTATATGTTCATTTTGCTTCCCTTGTTTTGCCATTGTTGACCATGATCCTCTCTTTTGAAGTTTAGCAGTAATATTATACTTTTTTTTGGCATACACTCGGTAGAAAGAAAACAAATCCTGGGTCTTGGTTGCCCTGTGATCTGAATTTTTAAGGTTTGTTTATTACTTATTTTCATAGTTTGGTTTTGGTTCAGTGGTTTCTTTAAGATCAATGGGTGAACAGCAGCTCGGTTCTTTTCTAGTATTTGAAGTAAAGTTTAGGATTTTTGGATAAAGAATGTTCTTGTGGAACCATTTTTGCTGATTTGGGTTGTCTTGTTTGTTAGATTTCGTGGGTTTTTGGTTAAATTTCTGTAAAGAAATTGGGTTTTTTGCTCTTTGTTTATTGGATCAAGTTGGAAATTTTGGAGTTGAAAACTTGAAATCTTGCCCCCTTTTTAAGTTTCCTTGTTGGTGGGTCAAGAAAATCAAGGAAAATGAAGGGTAAAACTGGGAATTTCTTTGTGTTGAATACTGGAGCTAGAATTCCAGCCATTGGGCTTGGAACATGGCAGAGTGGAGGAGACCTCTGCGTGGATGCCGTGAAAACGGCATTGTCGGTCGGTTACCGCCACATCGATTGTGCACATCTTTATGGCAATGAGATTGAAGTTGGGGAAGCATTGGCCGAAGCCTTCAAAGTTTCTTTGAAAAGAGAGGATGTTTTCTTAACCTCTAAGCTTTATTGTACCATGAATTCGTTGAATAAGATCGAGAACTATGTTAAGGTGTCTCTCAAGAACCTTGGAATCACCTACTTGGATCTCTATTTGATGCATTGGCCTGAGAGCTCAGCTTTTGGAGATGCAACCGATCCTCCTTCGAAGTCGAGAAGCGAACATAGGCAGTTTTTGAAACGGCTGAAGAAAGTATGGAAAGCCATGGAAGCCTTAGTTGTATCGGGTTTGGTTAGAGCTATCGGTGTAAGCAATTTCAGTGTGCATCAGATCAAAGAACTGCTTAAATTCGCGAAAATTGTTCCTGCAGTTAACCAGGTTCGATAGAGATCACACCCTTTTCGTTCTTAAATTTGATTTTATTCCAATTTCAGTTCATAACTAAGTAGTTGAAGATCCTGCAACGAGTTTCTTCTATTTAATTATCTTGCTGTGGTATAGTCTAACGAACATTTATTTAAGATATTAAGCACCTTGGTTTGCAAAATTATTAAAGGAAAATAGCTCTCGGAATGTACACTTGGAATGTTGCTGATTGGTAATTACTTGATAATCACTGTAACTTTGCAATCGAAAGCGGAAACGAATTATATCTGGCATGGATTATCTATAATAATAGGAAGGCACGGGATTTTGCTTGTACTTTGAGGTAAGTATTTTACTTGTAACTTGGTATTTTGTACACAGCACCTTGCTACGAGAGTTTATTTTTGATAAACTCGTTACTTTCTGTTTAAATATCGAGCAATTTGAGGCTCCAACTTCCTAGATTTATCGTATTTCTAAGGAAATGTGCCTTTACAATTCATTTGATTGACTATGTTAGTGGCTGCTGAATTCTCTTGTCACCTCGTGTAACAGTAAAGAAAATATTAATGATTCAATCCTTTTAGATAACTGGTGAGAAAAAAAATGTATTGCATCAGATGAACACCTCTGTATTTCCATCGATTCTTTTCTACATGTCGTATATTACGCTTTTCCTGTTTCTAGTAGTTTCTCCATTTTCTTTGCAGACTTTCATTCTTTCTATTGTTTTGCTGTTATTGAAGTAGAGTGTTCAAATATTAGGCTCGAGTCTTATTCTAGCGATATAGTTCTTATTTGTTCACCTTGTAATACATTTCCAGTAATTCATCAACAAGTTGTATAATTGAATTGTAATTTCTAATAGGTGGAGTTGCATCCTTTTTGGAGACAAGATGAACTGGTGAAATTTTGCCAATCAAAAGGTATCCATGTGTCTGCTCACACACCTTTGGGAGTACCTACATCAAGTCCTGGAGTGTCTGATAGTGGATCAGGTGGGGAAGATGAACCCAGAACTCCTCGTATTTCATTTAGGAGGTCTCGGTCGGTACATGGACCAATGCTGAAATTGTCGGTTGTTGGGGAGATTGCGGATAAGCACAGAAAAACACCTGAGCAGGTATTTCTTTCTATACCAATATCTCGTCTGTTTTTACTATGTATCGAGCTAGATTTTTCTTTCTATGTTTCTTTTAACCTAAAGTATGATAATGAATGACTTGGAATATGCATGCTGTTTAAAAGTTATCTTATAATTTCCCTAGTAATGAACATTGGATTAAAGCTTGAGCTCGCCTCATGAACTTGATAAGCTTTTCCAAACTGAGTTCGAGCAGCCTGTTTTACACTAAAAATGAACTCATATGAATTGAAACTTGGTGAGCCGTGGAACAAACTTGTTTCAAAACATTTTACGCATTCCAACTAAATACATAGGTCGCAAATGTAGTGAATTTTCACCATATTCCTTTTACTCTGAAGAACATGTAGCAGTAAGTTGATCGTTCTTTAAGTTTCTTATTTAGCATCATGACATGATGGTTGGAAGTGAATAATGCTTTTGTTCGGGACCTCTCGGCCTCGGATTTTTCAAATACTTAGAGCATCATGTGTATGATAAAGTGAGAACCGGTTCATCCGAGATTTAGCTATAGTGAGAACCGGTTCATCCGACGACTTCCTTCCCTTAAAAATCATTATAGGCCCTCCTGTCCTAACGTGCTACATTTAACTAGTCTATCAGTTCTCATGGTCCTGAATCATGTCATTCGGTTTTGTTCATTTGTAGGTAATTTTACGGTGGGGGTTTCAAAGAGGAACCAGTGTTCTACCTTGTAGCCTAAAGCCCGACAGGATAAAGCAAAACATCGACATATTCAATTGGTCTCTATCGGACACCGAGTGGAAGCGATTGAATCAGATCGAACCACAGGTATGTTTATTTGGAGATGGTCCTCTAAACAATCTCTCAGACAGAGGTCTCATGTTCGGTAGCGGTCCCCTTCAAGCTGTACGTGAGATGGAAGATGACACAGAATGCAACGCCTAAATACATGCAAGCATATCAGTTTTAAGTCGATCCACGTCGTCGTGCGGTTTATTGTATTGTTAGTGCTCCACCATTGTTTGCAATGCATTTGAGTTCATGGAAGATGTAGAGAAAGTCAAATGGAAGACATTATTATATGATGTGACAGTTTTCGTTATAAACAAAACAAAATGGTGTTCCGCATGTTTCTGCAAGCAGGGATGGACTGTGATGAGGAGTTGATGGGACAGTCGACCTTATAAATTTTAAATTTTTATATATATTTTTATATTTTTGATTGAAAATCTTTTTTTATTCACTTAAATTTTTATAAATTTATCCTCTAACATAAAATCATGCCATGCATAAAATCATGCGTACGTAGGGGTGCACAAAAAATCCGAATATCCGATTTTGCGAAAAAAATATCCGAAACCGGATTTGGGAAAAACCGGTTTTTTTTTAACCGGATCGGATTTTTTTAAACCGGTTATTTTAACAGGTTTGGAGAAAAAAACCTAGACCGATTTTTTTACCGGATAAAAAATCGGTTTGAAAAAAACCGGTTAAAAAACTGGTTTTTATCCGGCAAAAAAAAACCGGTATGGGTTTAAAAAACTAGCCGTTAATATAGCTGTTGGGGGTTTGTGATCGTTTTTGACCGTTTTTTCTTTAAAAATTACCATTTTACCACCCTAAACATGTATAAATAGGTTGGGGATATATTTGGTTGATTACAACTTTCTCAAATCTTATTACACAACACTTAAACATCTCTCAAATCTTATTTTTGTAATTTTTTGTTCATCATGAGTAACACGGCTGAATCTTCCGTCGGGGGAAACCTTGAAGTCGTGAGAGTGATCGAACACACTCGAAACAAAGATATTTGTGATCACTACGATTTATGTGAGATGTCAAATGGCTCGAGGAGGGCGCGTTGTAAACTTTGTCTAAAGTTTCTTGCATCGGAAGGAAACACAACGTTGAAGAACCATTTGACAAAATCATGCAAGGCACTTCGCTCAAAATCGGATCCTAGTCAATCGAATCTTACACCGCAAGGTGATGTTTTTGTTTACGACAACGAAAAATTACGAGAAGCGTTTACAAAGTTCGTGATTACAAAAGCATTGCCGTTCGACCACTTTGATGATGAAGATTTCACGACAACAATTCAACAACTAATGCAACCACGTTATACTCAAGTAAGTCGTACTACCCTTAGAAGAGATGCTATAAAAATGTGGCGTACGGCGAGGGAAAAAATGATTTTAGGATTCTAAGAACACCGTTATGGTGTGTCGCTTACATGTGACGTTTGGAGTTCCCCTCATAATACCGGAAATTCTTTTTTAGCCGTTACGTCACATTGGTTAGATCAAGATAATTGGCAAATGATGAAAAGAACAATCGCGTTTGAATTATTCGGTGAGCCGCATACCGGTGCTAATTTATTTACACTTTTAAAAAGGGTAATTTGTCTTTATAAATTAGAAAATAAAGTTTTTTCTATATCCTTTGATAATGCATCGAATAATACAAACGCGGTTCCAAGATTGAAAATATTACTTTCACCGATTTTAGACGGTGCGTTTTTTCATACCCGTTGCGTTGCACACATAATTAATTTATCCGTGCAAGCCGGTTTGGAGGTTATTGAGCCGATTAGATTAGAATTTAAAACAATGATAAATCGGTTCTTTGTAACAACAACAAAAGACTAAATGATTATAACGATTTTGTAAGTCCGTTAATAAAAAAGCTTTGGGTCCTAATTTGGATTGTCCAACTCGTTGGAACTCAACTTGGATGATGATGCATACTGCCTTAAGGCAAAGGAAAACATTGCAAACATTTCACGATCGGCTTTTCGAGAGGGGTCATGTCCCAAACATTTATCCGGATTCGAGTTGGGAAACTATAGCCAAAATAACCGATTTGCTTGAGGTTTTTAAAAATGCAACAACTTTTTTATCCGGTGTTTATTACCATACTAGCCCGTTGGTTCTTAATCAAATATTTTTATTGGCTACCCGACTAAATGACTTTGAATTTAAAACCGAAGTTTTTCAAGAAATTGGCTTTGCAATGAAGGAAAAACTTTTAAAATATTTTAAGGAGATTCCCCCCATTTTACTTGTGCCGCCGCTTTAAACCCAACGTTAAATGTTGGTGGGGTTGAAACACTAATTGAACAAATTGCGTTTGCTTTTAATCTAACCGATGATGAACCCAACTTTGTCCAAAACCAAATAAATTATTTTAACAAATGTTTTCGAGACATGTTTGCAATTTATTTAACTAAATACGGATCAAGTAGTGTAATACACGATCAAATGAGAATGAATGCGGAATCATCTAGTAGACGTCCAAGGAACATAAATTTGAATCTTTTTAACACTCTTGTAAATTCTCAATCCAAACGATCACGTACTACCACCCCAAGTAGCGAGTTGGGAAATTACATGTCATGCGATTTTCTATCAAAAATGACATTTGAAGAGTTTGAAAGTTTAGATATTTTGGCTTGGTGGAAAGAAAAGGAAGCACAATTTCCGATTCTAGCCGCCATGGCCCGTGATTTACTAACCGTCCAAGCTTCTACGGTAGCTTCGGAATCCGCTTTTTTTGTTAGTGGTAGGGTTATATCGCAACGGAGATCAAGACTAAGTCCCGAGTCGGTGGAAGTATGCATTTGTTTGAAGGATTATTTGGATGGAGCGGTTTGTAAGCAACATATTACCACCCTAGAAGATGCAATTGATGCCGATTTGGAAGCAAACTTACACATTGAAGAAGTCGAACTTGGAATATCCCCTCCAAACGAAGAAGGCGAAGATGATGAAGAAAAGATGGCAATGTAGTTTATTTTTAAACTTTATTTTAATTATCGTAAACTTTGTTTCAATTATCGAACTTGAAGTTTTTAAGTATTTGAATTTATCGAACTTGGAAGTTTTTAAGTATTTTAATTTATCGAACTTGGAAGTATTTAAGTATTTCAATTATCGTAAACTTTGTTGCAATTGATGAAGATGTAATTTTAATAATATTAAAATCGGTTTTTTTATAACCGGATTTTTAAAAAAACCGGTTTTTTTAAAACCGAAACCGGTTACACCGGTTAGGATATCAGGCCCTCCAAACCGATTAGAAACTAAACCGGTTATTTTATAAACCGATTTTTTTTCTATGGGAAAAAATCGGATCGGATAAAAACTGATCCGGATCGAATTGAAATCCAAATTATGTGCAACCCTATGCGTACGTCTGTCTGCCTGCAAACGTAAAAATTTCTCTTTGCTTGTTAGTTACGCGGTCAATGTTGTAATTGCATCACCTTTTCCACCTAATTCTGGTTTTGGTATGAATTCTCAAGTGGTTTTATTTGGACCAAATATTCTTAATTAGAAAGTGGACCATGGTAAAATTGCCTAAATAATATGATGAAAAAGATAATCGGTTGGTCTAAAGTGTATGAGAAATTATTTTCTCAAGTCGGGTAAAATGAACAATATCAATTTAAAGATGTCAGGAAGATAATGTGTCTTCTGGAAGATGTGGTGACCACAATACGTCTTCTATATAGAATCGTTGATGCAATTGAGGAAGATGAAGAACACAAACATAACTCTTAACGTAGAAGACGTATTATGATCACCGCGTTTTCTAGAAAATAATTTTGCCATGAACTCATAAGAGCTAGTCTTTTATTCCACCACTGCATTAGAGAAATTTCGCTGTGGACCCTCAGATGTTCTTTTGTTTTTCTTCTTTTGAAACATCTATATTCTATTCATCTCTAAAAAGGGTTGAAAAATGGAAGAAAAATAATAATAAATAAACAAAAACAACAAATGGTATATAGTCGGTCATATCCTACGTGCTAGTATGACTGTTTTTCTTTTCATGGCCAAAAGAATTGACGCAAAATTCTATAAACTAAATTCTGTTCATTTTCTATATAGGTTTGTTAATAAATACCCTTTTTAATATATATATATATATATATATATATATATATATATATATATATATTATTTATAATTTGCAAGTTTAAGGTGTCAAAATCTTCGAATTTTTAAAATAATAGTAACTAAATACTTGATTTTTATTCATCTAATTAATCTTATATACTTCATCAATTCATCCTTCTAATTATTGAAGTCATATATCATACCATGGTATTGATAAATAATACTTTTATAAACATATTAATTTTCTATAAATGTGTATTAATTGAAGTCATACTTTTGAGGACTAAATTTATGTAAAAGAAATAATAGAGGCGAAATTAATAAATTAAGTTTACTAGAGGCACACCATAATCCTATATATATATAACTTTACATTTTGAAAACTATTTAATTGTGAAAAGAATCAGATGCAAGCAGTGTTTTGAAAACTGGACCAGACCGGTCGGTTCAACTGGGAACCGTTGCCTAGTCCGGTTTAATTTAGACCGGTTGAACCGTTATTAGTAAACTGGCCGAAACCGCTGAACCGCTCAAATCAGACCGGTTGAAAACCGGAAAAAACCGCCAATTTTGTTTTTTTTTTTAATTAAACCAAACGACGTTGTTTGTTAAACGAGCCAAGTCGAACTCAAGTATTGCTGAGCTCGACTCGAACTTGAAAAATTTAAAAGTAAGATCAACTCGACTCAAACTCGCAAGCTAAAAATTATCAAGTTCAACTCGAACTCGAAATATAATATTAAAATTTGAACTCAAAAAGGCTTGAACTCAAAAAAAAATTAGAAGCTCGATTGAAGCCTAAAATTCGAGCTTAATTGAAGTGAAAGAATAGTTCACTCAATGCTCACCAAAAGGCTCCATGATTTTGAATGTCAAATTACCTCTATTATTTATAGAAGTTAGTTGGGATGATCTTCTATGTTTCTTAGTCATGTGGGATTGTTTTTTAAAAAAAATTAAACCAAACAATATCATTTTGTTATGATTTTTTTAGCCCCAAATTTATTTTTTAATTATAGTTATATAATTATATTTATTATTTAATATGTTTTACCTTAAATATTATGTTTTAGTTAATTTGAACCATTTTGTTTCACTTGATTTTATGGTTTTTAACTTATATATCTTATGACTTGCTTTGAATATAAATTGTGATATAAAAAATTATTTTTATTAAATATTTTTGATATTTTTATTTAATTTTTTAAATAATTATGACGTCGTCCGATTTTTCCGACATATCAAACCGATTCGACCGGTTGAACCAGTGAACCGATAAAATGACCGCTTCGTTAACCGGTCTGGTTCTGAAAACCATTGATGCAAGGATGGCCCACGGAAGTGAAAATCAACCATATGAATGTGGTAGCCAAAAGGCCTGAGTTGACCCGCCACCCTAATTCTGCAATTCCAATTGGAAACTAATAAAATAACTAAATCCCACTGTTTGAATTAATATTTTGGCGACCGTCGCATAAATAGAGCTAGTCAAACCTGCAAATGACATAAATAAGTTGGCCATTTGTCTGCTATACAAATTACCCAAAATTTTGTCTTCACTGAACCTTCAAATTTCCAAACTTTTGACCAAAGGATTTGCTGTTTTGTTTTTATGTTTTTTCAATTTCTTAATATTGCAACCACCACCATTAAGACCAGCACAGAACACAAATACCAATATTTATCAACATATCAATATATATATATATATATATATATACACCTTAAACTAGTTGCAATCATATTGATGTCACTTTGTCCAGCAAAGAAACTAGCTGCTGTGTTGTAGGCCTAAGTTTAGGGACTTCACTTAAACAAAGGCATGCGATCTCCAGAACCTGCAACATCTCCTTATCGTGCTGCTTGTCGTAGATAAACGGATCAAAAACCTCGCTCTCCTTGTTTTCCATCTTCATCCGAATCACCCAAGAGATTAAATCCCGGCTATCTTTCGGCTTGCACATATCCATGGGCCTTTTCCCAGTCAGAAGCTCCAAAAGGACTACTCCGAAACTGTACACATCACCTTATAGGTTGCGACCGAAGCTTGTCCGTACTCGGGAGGAATGTAGCCTAATGTCCCTACCAGATCAGTGGTTACATGGGTATCATAGGGAAGTATGAGCCTTGCAAGACCAAAATCGGCTAAGTGAGCTTTGAAGTTTCCATCTAAAAGAATGTTACTCGACTTTATATCTCTGTGAAGAATATGAGGCTCGCACGACTGGTGCAAATAAGCTAGACCCCTAGCCGCCCCTTGCGCGATTTGCAGCCTTGTTTCCCAGTCGAGTAAGGATGGCCCGTCGACCTTCTCATGTAACCAATAATCCAAACTACCATTTTCCATGTAAGAGTATATCAAAAGCCTGTCGTTTTTATGCATGCAATATCCTTGTAGATGGACAAGATTTGGATGCTGAGCTCTTGAAAGTGCTTCAACTTCAGCGCAGAATTCTCTATCCATCTGACCACAATCACCAGAAAGCCGTTTAATGGCGACCTTACGACCATCAAGGAGAGTGCCTCTATAAACCAGACCAAAACCCCCACAACCTATGATATTTGCTTGATCAAAATTGTCGGTTGATTCCAAAAGGTCATCGATGCTAAGCTCTTTGTAGGATTCCCAGTTTTGGAAGAGCACCACTAACCTTGAACTGAGTTCTAAATCTTTATCGTTGGTGTCAGGCTCCTCTTTCTCTGGATCAACCTCATTGCGTTTATATGTACGCAAAACAAGCACATAAAGAAGCCCAATTAGAAAAGCTGTCCCGAATATGATTCCGACAACCATTCCAATGATGATATCTTTGCTCCTTCTTGATCTTTTCGAGGGCTCATGACGATCTTCACTTGTATTCTCTTGACACCTGAACCGATGATCACCACAAAGATCATTTCCTTCAAAGCTTGAATTTGGAAATGTCTGAAATTGACCTCCAGAAGGGATCTTCCCATTAAGCCGATTGTAGGAAACATTAAAGATGGACAGAAAACTGAGATTTTCCAGTGAAAGTGGTATGGTCCCTGTTAAGTCATTATGTGATAGATCTAGAATCTCCAAGTCGGTCATCTCGGACAAACTTCCTGGAATCGGTCCAGAGAAATTATTGAATTTCAGATAAAAAACAATGAGCTTTTTCAGATTCCCGAACTCAGGCCAAATCGGTCCCCTAAGAAAGTTGTGGCCAAGTTCAAGTGTCGGTGGAAAACTTCTAATTTGATTATACTGCAATCCATTCCCCCTCTCATTCCTTGTCATGAAGAAAGGAAAATCTGATGAAGGTTCCTCCAGTGAGATATTTCCATGAATGAGGCTTGGTAATTCAGTTAAACTCTTTGGGATCTCTCCGGTAAATGAATTGTTCGACAAGTCCAAGTAAAAAAGATCTCTATAACTTCCAAACCACGGGGGAATCGTTCCACCCAGACGGTTCCAAGACAAATCCAACAACTGCAGAGCAGTAATACTTCTCAACCATTGGGGAATGGAACCTCTAAGTTTGCAGCTCGCAATAACAAGAACCTTCAACTTCTCGAAATGCAAGTTACGATCATCAGGTAATGTTTCGCCGGGGAAATTCAAGGTGAGGACCAAAGCAGTTAGGTTCCTACACCGCTGCAGAATTCGAAGAACAGAGGAGATATTATGGAGGCTTGAATTCGAGAGGGAAAGATAAGCGAGGCTATGAAATTCTCCGAAGCTCTCGGGGATTTGGCCACTGAAATTATTCCGGGCAAGGTTGACATTTCTCAATTGTCTGCACACGGGAAGATTATCAGGCACAGGCCCTGAAAACTTGTTGGTAGCCAAATTCAGAGAATTCAAAGCAACCATAGCTGAGCAATTAAGATATATAAAACCCTCCAATGAATTATTCCTCAAATTCAGCAAACTAATGGTTGGAGAATTGGATAATGAACTGGGAATTCTACCACTAAATCTATTCGATTGAGCTACAAGAAACTGAAAATTCTTCAGCTGACTAAACACATCAGGGATGTCTCCAGAAAAATTATTTGAAGAAATATCTAAACGAACAAGGTTAGAGAGATTAGCAATACCAGGACTAAGCTTCCCATCAAGGTTGTTATATTGAAGCCCCAAAAATTTCAAATTCTGAAGCTGAAAGATGTCTTCAGTTATCCCACCAGTGAGATCATTTGCACCAAGATAAAGTTCATCCAAGAAAGAACATTTCCCAAGGCCAGATAAAATATTACCAGAGAAATAGTTTACTGCCATATTAAGGAGACGAATTCGAGAAGAATTAACACATATATGGGAAGGCAGGGAACCATTAAAGTAATTCGAAGAAATGTCAAGGCCTTGAATTGAAGGAAGATTGATGCTCTCTGGGATTGTTCCAGAGAAATCATTATTGCTCAAGTCAAGTTGCTCCAGATTCGGCATTAGAAACAAAGACGATGGCAATGAGCCTTTAAGCAAATTGCGGGAAAGATTGAGAGTTTTAAGCTGATCCAAACCAGCCAAAGCATCCGATAATTTTCCCGATAATCTTTTCCTCGAAAGTTCCAACTTGATTACTCTACCAGAAGATGGAGGATCACAGGTTATGCCTTCCCAGACACAACAATCAGTCGATGAATCCGTGGCCCAACCTTCAAGTTTTGTTGTCAAATTGCTCATGAAATACTGAAGTGCAGTCCAGTCCTTCGGATTGCATGTCGGGTTCTGAGAGTTGAGTACCTGAGCTTGCAACAAGAACCCAAGAATGACAACCAGAACCCAATAATCTTGAGCACACATATTAAAGAGAACCAACAACAAAAAAGATTGAAACTTTTTTTGCTGGGGATGAAAAACAAGCAAAAACCCTTCACCAAAATCAACTTTTCCGATGTGGGTTTTTCGTTGTTAGAACAAACAAGAGAAGGAAAGCTCAAAACAAAAGAGTGGGGGGTTGGTTTTGACAAGGAGAAGAGATGTAGAGGAAGGGAAAGAAAGAGCAAAATGGTGGCTTTGACTTCAACACGGGCATGGCCATATGGGGGATTTCGGGACTTTCGGCTTTGCCTTTGCCTTCTTTATTAATATCTCCTGCAATTTCCAATCGCCATTTCTTTATGATTTTTTTTTCATTTTATGCAAAGCTTTGCGCCAATAAAGCCGTTGGGTTGGGTAGATGGAAAGCACACAACTATCTATTGTGTCAACCGGTAAAAGTGTTGGTATGACCGGCGATGGCCGGTCAGGTTCGGAAACCATTTTCTCAACTTTTGACTCTTTGTTTTTTTTTTTATTAAAACAGCTCTGACTTTGTGGAATAATTAATTAATCAGCTATACTTTATTAAATTTTAAAATAAATAAAATTAAAATAGTGTACAAAAATTTAAAGACCATATTATTAGAAAGAATACTTATGAATCTTATAGTTAACTGCAACATAGGTTCCCAAATTATAACAGTTATTTTAAATTGGTCCTTAAACTTTTGAATATTCAAATTTCATCCTTAAACTATGACTCTTATTTTAAATTAGTCCTTAAACTTTTGATCATTCTAATTTCATCCCTAAATTGTGACCCTCTTTCTAAATTAGTCCCCAAACTTTTGAATATTCTAATTTTATCCCCAAATTCATTCAAATATGTGATTAGTTTTAGCCATAATTTAACCTAAATTTTATTTTTTTTCAAACATACAATAATATAACTTAGTCTAACGGTTTTATTAACAAGATATATGATTAGTATATATGTATAGTTTGAGATGTAATTTGAATGTTCAAAAAGTTTAAGGACCAAATTAGAATGAAGGTCATAGTTTGGAGATGAAATTAAAACGTTCAAAAGTTTAAGGATATTTAGAATGATAGTCATAGTTTATGGATGAAATTAAAATATATAAAAACTTAGGGATAAATTTAAAATAAGAGTCATACTTTAAAGACATGTGATGCAATTAATTCTGAATCTTAAAAATAAATAGTGAAATAAACATAAAAATATATGAAAATTACTAAATTAACACTTACGCAGCCTAGTTAATGGACAGCAAAACTTGGTAATGACGTTTCATTAGGGAAATAGTCAAATCCTGTTTCAAGAAAATTATGTATGTACTTATAAATTATTACGTAAACTTTTTCCAAAGAAATAATTAAAAATCTAATTAATTAAATTGTTTAAACTAAAATTTTAATTAATCAAATTAATACATATCTTTTATCAAAAAAATAACTAATACATACTTTTTACGTTAGGTTTTTTATTTCTATATTTAAAATTTTAAATGTTAATAAAATTAAATTTTTTTCACTTTATTTAAATACTTTTTATTTTTTATACACTTTATTTTCTTTAATATTTAATCTTAATTTTGTCCTTGAATAATTACGTAAAAGTTCAAAGCTTTAGGTTGTTTTTCAAGGATGTCTTTCACACAGTCTTTCAAGCAGAAGGGTTAGATGTAAGGGGTCATTTTAGGCTCGTTTTGTTGGTGGTTATCTAGTTTATTGGGGCTTTGGAGCGTATGGCGTGATGAAGCAGTTGAGTTATCTTGTTTTGAACCTGGTTTCTTTTTTAGCAGGTTTTGAGCTGAGATTCAAAAAGTAAATACGGGTTTTTTCATTGTTATTCCATTGTTAGTGTGATTTAGGGATCTTGTGGGTTCTGTCTTTTCTATACGTGATGAATCAAGTTTTAGTGTCCGTTTCGTTGAAGTCGGGTTGCTTCTAGTATAGCAGTGGGCTCTGGTGGTTCCAGTGCATTGCTACGTTATATTAAAGGGAATGGTTTTTTTCCATTTTTTCTTTCGGAGCTTTATTCAGAAGATGGAGAGTGTTGTGATGGCTCTTGGGCTGGTGGTGGAGCGGTGTTCTCAGTTGATGTCGGTGATAGGTTGTCTTCTTGGTTGCAGAAGGGGTCTGCTGCTTTTGTCTTTACTGAAGATAGTTTCATTGTTGCATTAAGCAAGTGGTGTGATGTGGGTGCTCTGACATGCAAATTCCTGCATGTTATTCCTTGTGTGGGAAATAAGAAGTTGTCGAAGATAGTTTATTCGTTGTTCCCATACTGTTTTGGTTGGGACTTTTTATCTGTGGGTGGATGTTTGCATCGATTTTGCTGGTTTTATTTTTTATTAGAGAGACATACCATAGTGGCTTGCCCCATGTCTATTTCCAGTAGCTTTTGGTTTCTAGAAGTTCCATTAGTAATAGTTCTGCGTTTTCGAGGAAGAGTTGAAGGATGTCGGGTTGGAACTTCTTCGAGTTTTTTTTCTGGATGTTCAGTTTGGAGCTACTAGGATTAGGGTGCTTGTGAGTTTGGTGTTCTCTTTTTTCTGGGATCTAAAGTTTTTGTGGTTTTCTGTTTGAGAAAGATGGTCAGTATTGAGAAGTATTCGATCCATGATGGTGTGTTCCGGTCCTTGTCCAAGCCTTCTACAAGTGAGTATCCATTTCTAAGTGGTGTGCCTCTGGTTAAGCTCAGGGGGTCGGTGCTGGTTGTTTTGGTGCTAAGGTTCTTTCCTATGGTTTGCTGTAGGAGTATATTTCTCAGTGTGTCATCTATTCTTACTGTTGGTTGTATGTGTTATTTTTTCTGTGTGTTGGTTAGGGGTTTGTGGTTGGCCGTGGGTTTGGCCCGACTGATGTTACAATTTTAAGTGTGTTTGTTATTTACCACCACAAGGTACACTCTTTTTCCTCCATTTAGGATTAGGGAGGTGTCAACACACATTTTTCGTCCTACTAGGATTCAAACTCCTAAAAATAGGATAGAATTTTAGGATTCAAACTCCTAAAAATAGGATAACATTTTGCTAGGATTCAAACTCCTAAAAATATGATAGAGTTCTACTAAGATTTAAATTCCTAAAGATAGGATCCACAAGCACTATAAATAGCCATTGTAACTCACCATTGAAAAGGAGGATTTTTACACACAAAACACAGAGGAAAGCACGGAAAATACAAAGGCAAAGCTATTGTAAACGATTCGAAAAGGAAATAAAAGGTAGCATCTTTTTTTTTTGCATGTGCACGTTATTTTTCTTGAGATTTGGTTTGAATAACCTAAAACGTGGGTTGCGCCGATGACCAAAAAGGGGTGGGGTTTCGAAGTTTCGAACCTAGATCTACTCCCGAGGCATATTCATTTTTTTTAGTATTTAATATTCCCCGATTACTTCGAAATTTGACCCCTGATTTTTTTTCCATTTTAATCCCTTCATGTTTTAATTCCTTTTCTTGATTTCGCATTTTTTTACCTATTATACTATATTTTATTTGTTATTACTTTCACTAACAATTATATCTATATATATTTTATATATTATTATTTGTTTCCTCCTCTTCTTTTTTATTCGTATATATATTATGTACATATAACTACATATATGTATTTTAGTGTTTCATTCTAACATCTATTTACGTATATTACCTTTTATCTTTATTATATATATTATATTTATTGCTTCATTTTCTTTATGTGTATTTTATTTATTTATATATATTACCTTTTTTATTTTATATTTATACTATTATTTACTATCATTTTTCTATGCTTTATTTATTTATTTATTATTTTATTTTATTTCTTTTTATTTTGGTTGAATTTATTTATTTATTTTATTTTATTTTTTTATATCTAACATGTTTCTCAACTCTTTAAGGGTACATTTTCAATCAAACATAGGTAAGTTTTGGATCGTTATTTTTACCTTTTAATTTAAAATTACAATTTTCTTAATTAAGACAACTAAAAATTACGTAGTACCGAAAGGGCGGTTCAAGGGTGCTAATCCTTCCTTGACCGTAACCGACTCCCGAGCCCGACATATTTCTAGAAAGACACATATCAGGTAAGAAATAAGGTATCCGATCAACCCATTTATTTTTAAATAAATGATCGGTGGCGACTCCAATCTATTTTCCTAAGTCAAAGCCCAATTCCGGGGCCCAACCGAAAGACGGTTGCGACAGCTTGGCGACTCCGCTGGGGACCAGGTAAGTGAGTCAGGCTAAGGTAATTTCCAGTTATCTTTTTAACGAAAAGGGTAAGTTTAAATTTTAAGGTAATATTCCGATCCTTTTTACTTACTTTTGATTATATTTTTGAGTAAATAGTTGGACTAATCGTTTTCTCATGATTTCAGCCTTCAAAGTTTTTTTTCATCTAAGGCTCTATACTCGAGCTCCAATTCCTTTTAAGTGGGGGTGAAAGCGACGCCTTCGTGTGAATTTATTCACCGTGTGGGCCTAGCAAGTAGCCTTCGGGATACATATACCTTATGCCTTCGTGTGAATTTATTCTCCGTGTGGGCATAAGGGAATGTTTCCTCTCGAGTTTAACTTAGTCCACACAAACCTGTGATGGGTTTAGGACTAAGGGTCTGGCAAGCCCAAGGGGGTACCAGCAAGGAGAACTCGGGTACCATTTTTTTAGAACCTAAACCGGGAGACGATGGAGAATTAGAGCCCACCCCAAAACCTCATTCCAAACCTTAGGCTGCTTTGATTTTATTTCATGCCTTACTTTCTGTTCAAAGCATGCGAACTAGACAAATATGCGGTTAGGATTTGTTTGAGATTAGCATGCGGGATAGAGATCATGTCCGGGTAGGAATAATAAGCATGTGGGGTAGATATCATGTGGGGTAGGACTTTCATTTTTATGATCGTTTTTTATTATTTTTTTTCACCTCACTAACTCTTTTCATCTTTCTTTTATTTTATTTTATTTTATTTTCATCACTTGCATCATAAAAGAGGTCATTGATCCATTAAAACGTGTTTGTTAAAACTCGAATAATCTGAATCCATGGACAAAGGTGTTGTAATACAAGAGATTAAAAACCCCGAGGTACGACTATGGTCCGAGAAGACTCAGAAGGAAAATGGAGACAGTCTTTAAGGAAGCTATGTGTTAGAGCTAGTTAGCTACGCCTCTATCAGCCTAAAACAGAATAATGTGCAAGAACTTCGAGACATCTGAGATAGTTGGAAGAATGATCGGAAACAGAAGTTCAGTCAGCGGTATGGTGACATTGCACTTTTGCTGCATGTTAAGACCGATGAGCCCTTAATCAGAGTCTTGGTTCAAT